CGCGCACGCCTCCACAGCCATCTCCGGCGCGCCCGGCGCTGCACCACACACTCATATACTAAACGACAACTATCATACTTCATCTATACTTCTATATATATATCTATACTAATATAATAAAGCGTAAACACACACTACTTCGTGGAGTAGAATGTCAGCAATCACAGCATATTTTTGAATAACTCTTTCTTTATAAAATGCCCTACACTTACGACACGCTTTAGGCTAAATATTTTCACCCTATAAACTTGGGGATAAATAAATTGGAAAAAATCATCATGTGGGAAAGGGACCACGAACTACAAGCTGCCAACATCAAGGAAGCATTTAGAAAAAGAAATCCATTTTTCCTATTAATCAGCTAAAAATCCAATTGCTCTTATAGTTTTTCTTGTTTGCCTCTTGATTATGCCTCAGGAACCTCACTAAACAACATCTTAATAATTTTATAAACGCGAAAGTTTTGATGGATGGATGATTTTTAGAATTTGTAGGCTCAACGGCTGAACGGATTTCGATGAAATTTGGTATAGATGTAGAGCAGCGATTCTCAACTTTTTTTTATGCGCCACATATTTAACGATTTCGAAATTTAGCGGCACGCAAATAAAAGAAAAGATTTTGCAATACAGATTTAGAACGCAAATATTTGAAAATTTTGCAAATATTTGTAATCTGATCTGCTAGTCAATGGGTCCCTTGACTTGGGTATGCCTAATTAATATTCAAGTTGTGCAACATAATATTGTATGTAAAAATTTAATTTAATTTGCATGATAACAATACATTGAAACATTACTAACCTGATGACTTCATTTGTTTTTCCAATGCTGTCCGTTTGCGTAAAGATAAAACAATGTTATAACAATTTAATAAAATGTAAACAAATGTATTAAATACGTCTCATTATGAAAGTAAAGAAAGTATGTGTACAATAAGCTGTATGGCTTATTTTTAATTCATCCTTTTACTTTTAATTTCAAAGTACTATGTTCACATTGAAATAAAATGTCATAAATAATACGAGTTCCATTCTAAACATATTAACATACAAAGTCATTCTTAGATGTTTGTTTGAAAGATACAATTATAATAAGTGTTGTCATTGTTACTTGCAAAGGAATGCATACATCCATACCAGCAAAGTGTGTTTATACGAAAGATAAGCCTCAAGTGCAACATGGAATCAAAAAGATAAAAAAAATAATGGATACCCCATTTTAATAATCTGCATGGTTTAAATTAATAAAGTACGAATAAATTAAAAAAAATAATCAAATGAATGTTATGCCAATATTAGGATGGAAGAATGTTTTTTATGTAGGACTTGAAAAGAAACTATACAACTAAAATTCTGCTAATTGGAAAAGTTCAACATTCTAAGAACTTAGGAATCGTATTATTGTGTTAATAAGTGAAAATATTGATTTATGTAGCATGTATGTAACAGAATGTAATGATAGACTGCAATTTAAATACATTAGGATATCCCTATGCTATCGATTACATCGGCGGCCATTACAAGATTCATTGAACTGTATCAAATGACTTAGAATACAATAAAAAATAAACAACTAGTGGCCTTAAGAATTGCACTTTTCAATAGAAACTACTATTCCACAAAATTAACATGATATAATAAGATTTCATTTCTTGTATTTTGCCTTGTACTTTTTAGAAAGTGTATTTTGTTGAACATGAAATTTTAAATGTGACAAAAAAAAAACGTATTACTACGATACTTAACATTGTCAGTATGTAAGTGAACATTTTTTTCTTACGTATGCACTCGACGAAATTCATAGTTCTGACAGTACGTATGGCAGGCTCGATGTCTAGCGTGAGTGCGGGCGGCGCGGGCGGCGGCTCCAGCGACGAGCAGAGACCCGCAGCCGTCTCTTGGGCGCGAGTCGACAGGATGCTACCCACCTGGAAACAAACTATTACTGTTAAAACATTCACTGTTGACTGGACTGGCCTCACTTTGATGGCCAGTTGGGCAATAGCACTCAATACAGGGATTGACAATCAGCTGGCATAGTGTGAACGGTAACTGGCGACAGTACGTCCATACAATCTGTGACAGGCCGGCAACTATCAATATGTACTGGCCAAGTGTAAACCGCGCATAATAAACAATAGAATAGGCATGAATACTTTTAACCCTTTAAGACAGAAGATAACAATCCAAATTAAAATACCCTAAACCATAGTAACTGTTCTTAATGGTCAGTTTGTTTTTTATTTTTGTATCTTCCACAGATAAAGAACCTTATAAGCAATACAAACTTCATCTATACATATAATAAAATTTGAGTGTCTGTTTGTAATGTAATATTAAAAGAAAAATTCCAGAATTCGGGAAGATAATGTCATAAATATATCTGCTGTCTGTCTGTCTGTCCGCAAGCCGCGTTTGTTCCAGGTAATCTCCGAAATGGCTGGGCCGATTTCGGTCGGACTTTCACTGGAGGGTAGCTGACATGCATAGGCATATTATAGGCAACTTTTTTAAAATTCCGCGCTGTCAAAATGGCGTAACAGGTGGTCCAAATTTGCGCTAACGAAGCTTGCGAGTGATAGCTCTTTATAAAGTCATAAGTAGATATTGTAGTATTAAAGTTATACATATTTACTTGTGTACATTTCTTATCTGATTATGATAGTATCTTATCAGTCACACCCTAGTTATTATGTTATTATTTTTAAGTATTGATTGTAGCATAATCTATACAACAAATAATTTATAGATGTCTAATCATATTTTAACTTTATTTTTAAATATGTGTAATAAATGAATATATTTAGTGTTGAATTATTCTTGTGGTATTTAAAATATGATACATGGCAAATTATTGGACAATCAGATCACTTGCATTTGTTATAAGCTACAAATTGCTCACATTAAATATATAATTGTCATTAAAACATAGTTTTCTTTAAAGTAAGACAGTAAATGATCCAACAACCAATCAGTAATGGCTTCTGAATAGTTGAACTTCATTTTAAAGCCTATATCATATTGTTTAAATACTTTAACCTAGTTATTTAGTCAACAAACCTGTAAGAAAGCAGCATGATCTGATTCCTTCAGAGCCTCTATGGAAAAATGCAATAATGCAGTGGCTTCACGTAACTTCTGTGCAGCATGGGAAGTGAGTGAGCGCATATTTGCAATGGCCTGTGAACGGGTATTCCGAGCTGCTCTGACCAGCTCATCTCTGCGACGGTCTATTGCACGTGTAACTTCTGCACAGGCCTGATCTATTTGTCTTTCTAATTCTTCACATGATTCCTGTAAAATTTGGTGTGAATATTTAATTTTACAATATGTAAATACTATTTAAAAATGTCATGGGCTAGATACTTGCATTAATTTTATCTCCCGATCCTTTGACTAGTTGAATATATTCAGTCATTGCTTTTGCTTGTTCTGAAAGCTGCTGGAGTGATTGTGATAATTCAGTCTGTAAAATAATAATAAATAACATGTACCATAAGACCCATAGAGAATCTGTTGTTTATATATTATTGTTAGATTCAACTTTAGTACCATGTTAAAGTTACCTTATGAGCTCTAGCTGCACTAGAAAGCTGCTGTGTTTCATGGGCGGAGTGTCGCTCAGCCAGGCAGCGTTGGCAAATTGGCACTAAACATGTGTTACAGTACAGAACTGGTGGCGATCCATGATCTGAGCAAGTGGTTCCCAGGGCGCGCAACTCATGCTGAGCGAGGGGACCGCGAGTAGGGTGCCAGGCGTCACGACAACCAGCACAATATCTCACTGAACATTGTTCACATCGAACCACGGCCGCTCGCCTTTCACCTTCACACATCTGACAGGCTTCTTCGGCAGGCGGCGCTCCTACTATACCACCGAATCGCTCTACGATAGTACGCATTACTCGAAACGGTGGTAGCCCTTCGGCTCCATTGTCGTCCAAAAAAACTTGTTTGTTACATTGGGGACACACGAGGCTAAAAGCTGCGGATGAATATACTGCGGCAGCCGGTGTTCCCGCAAAACTATTAGGTCTTGATCCACAAACAACACCACTATCGGTTTCGCTCGAAACAGATGCCTTATCTGCCTCCTGATAGTCTGTTGCAGTACCCGAGGCATTGTCTGTCTCAGGTAAATGACTTTGTAGGCCAACTGCACAGACCCGACACAACGCGTGCCCACAAGGCAGTAATACTGGTTCTTTGTAGAATTCTTTACAAACAAAACATCTTAATTCTTCTTCCATTTTGTGTCCATTCCGATCTAATAAAGTATTATTTCACAATCACTGACTAATAATATCACCGTTATTAATATCGTAGTAGATTTCAACCGTAACATTTAATTGGTTCTAACATACAAATCAAAACATTTCTTAAAACAATTCGTAGTTTAAGTTTTGATTAGAGGCAAATAAAATAAAAAAAAACTAATAAGACAAATACAATTCTCTTGACAAATTGTGCTCGACTGAGTGAATGAATGAATGAAAATAACCATGAGCAAGGTGAATGATCCGAGGTGCTTTATAGAGATTTTAGAGCAAAGAACGAGCTGTATAAGAATGTCACGTTGCCATAAAACTGAAATATTGTTGTTGTTGTTGTTGTGTTTGGCGTCTGTATGTGACCTAAATTCCTTTAGTTTTTATGTTTTCAACTCTCAATGAGTCTATCTAGTATTTTAGAGTATTAAAACTTAATTGTAATGTGTAATCATTTATTTCGATAAATTGGTTATTTTAATTTTGTTGCTGGCAAACATTGGTAAATAAGATGAATGACGTTTTTTATTTACAAAATAAGAGATAATCTTTTATCAAAAGAAATAATCCGTTGGGTGATATTTAGGAAGAGTATCTAATTAAGAAGAATAAAAATTATTGCAATAAAATTACCATGGAGTCCGTATTGTCTTCCGATGATAGTTGCGATTCGGAGATGAAAACGATGAAAAATCTTTTAACAGGTAAATATGTTTAACAAAAAATTATTCATGTTCTTCTGTTTGAAATACAATTATAGATATGGAATAGTTTATAAAACTGAAACGAAACAGAATAAAATTATACGAATAATTTCCCGTAAACAAATATTCGATCTGAGAGGTATAAGGAAATTTAATTCATGCCCGCCTTTCAAGATATAACTCGTAGCATTGAAGTACTTTTTCTGTCTAAATTACTTTTTAAATTGACCACAGATCTTTTTTTGTATTCCCATATGCTGTGTTTCAGAATTTGATTTAAATGAAGAAAACCTCAGTAAAGATGAGATGAGAGATCTTATTAAGGCTTTAAAAAATTCTAAAACAACAGTCAAGGAAGAGGAGTTACAGAGGCAAAAGGTAGTATGTCAATGCATGAATACAAAAAGTTATCAGACATTTAGGGATGGTTAATAACTTATTGCACTTAGATATTAATGAGTTCATTTAAATTCTTATTCTAATTTACCAGAAAAGGTAAAAAATATAACCATTAGTCTACAACTCAATCATCCAGTCATATCACTACTTGTAAAGACTAGATTTAGAAAATAAAAAATACAGTAATATAATAGATAACTTCTTATTATATACTAGTTTTCGCCCGCATGTCTGTCCATGGAATTATGCATCTATGCATCCATCTAAACTTTATCATTTGTAATATTAGTATGATTGTTCATAAGTGGTTATCTCTTTTACTGCTAATAAGTTGTCCTGAGGTTTAGTTGTAATAATGATCAATTACTTTTATATTTTAACATCTGCATTGCAGTCTGAGGATAGCCAATGTAATGCTTCACCAAAAATAAAAATGAAGAGAAAGTTCCTTAATGTAAGAGATAGGAGAATGCCTTGGAGTATATTGCCAAGCACATTAACTGCAGCAGAGAAAGCTCACACACTTGCAGTCTACATTAAACTGATGTCAATTAATAATTATCGGCAAGCAAGACAATCAGTTAATTTTGCGGCATGGCCTCCACCACTACAAATAGTTGAAGAAGCCACAAGAATTCAACCTGTAAGATCCACTAGAAGTGGCCGTTCAGTGCCTCAGTATTGTGGTTTCGATGATGACTCCTCAGATTTAGATATCATTGTAACAAAAAGTAAAAAACGAAAAGTATCAAATAGTGATAATGCAAGTGATGGTTTGTACTCAAACAAAGTTGTCAGTTTGAAACGGAAGACCAAGGAGGATAACACAAGGCCAGTGAAAGAGCCTAAAATTGCCAATGATGCAAATAAACTAGAATTGATAAACAATTGTAATGTAAAATAAGCTTTTATACATTTCAAGACTGATTTTTAATTTAATTAGCTTTGAATCTTGTGTACGACAGTTTTAACACTAGCACTATAGGTACACATATACATAGCAGTCAAATTAAGTTATTTGATTTAGCCATAAGATGGCGCTTTTGTTGTACTAATTATGCATGCGGATAATTGAAGTGTTTTGATGGTGATATTTAGTTTAATATTTTGATTTTCTGATGATAAAAGTCATTTTTTTTACAATTATAATACATGTTACATAAAGTTACTATATGAAAAAAATATTTTGTTTCTTTTTTTTATATTATAATATTAGCTAGCTTTTTAATATAGATTGAGGTTATGTATTAAATATGTATTAAAGAAGACATTAAGGCCATGATTCTCAACCACTGTGATGCACTTTTGTGTGCCGCAAAATTTTGAAATCGTTAAACATGTGCTGCAACAAAAAAAAGGTTGAGAATCACTGCATTAATGCATTAAGAAAGAATGAGGAGGGTAAACACATAAAAAAAGTGTTCAAGCTTTGCGGTTTTAGATGACAAATTGTCAAAAACATTGTATATTTTATTAGATAATAGTTCTTAATGATTAAGTTCCTTCTTAGTTTTATTGCTGGCGTTTGTCTAGTAAGAATTATATTAAGAAACACTATGTGCACAACTGTAAACAAAGAAAAATGTTAAGTCATCATTTTTAGTATTATGGTTTGTTAAATATTTTTGCATTTATAATAAAGCTAATTAAATAGCAACAGTAGGATTTGATAATTTGCCGAAAATTATTTCAAGGGGCTTTGCAAATCCAGTCTTGTATACCAGGCAATACTGCTGTTTAGATGTTTTTTCTGCTCCAAAAAGCCTAATATGCTCCTTTTTATAAAAAAAAAAACGATGATGTCTAGAAAAGATGATGCTGGCCGTTTCGTCTAAAAGAATCTAACTTGCACGTAAGGTTATTATTGGTAAGAAATATTGTTTAATATAAAAAAAAAATAATTTTAATGAACACCATAAATAAAATGATTGTATACATTTTATTTTAGTAGAAATGTGTGTGCTGTAATCCAACAAGAAATGTAGATTTTATGTGCTCGGAAACCTACAAATATACTTTGTAATTAAATATATTTCTAATACAACTGTTTTAAAGTTCATTCAAGAAAATTAACTCCCTTCGTAGTAATAGGTAACACATTCGGTTAGACATTTTGTAATAAGTGACCAAAGATGGATTTCTTCAGCTAGTTGTCAAGGTTGTTCATCAATCGGATAAGTAATGAGTGTTATTTGTAGGTATTCATTTATTAATTAATAAAATATATTAATATAACATACTTATCATCGAATAATTGGAACTTAATATTTTTCTATGTCACGTATCACTTAAGAGTAAAATATAGTGTCAACCAAACTTAATGACGGCTCGCAATTTCGCACGAGATACTTTATAGTAAGACTTGCTAACACCCGTAGCGGATCTAACTAGCATCGTTCCATGAAGTCATGCTTTCGCAGTAGACTATGAGCCGCGATACAGTTTGAATCTTGTAACACAACGATTAGCGATGATGTGTTGGTCCTCTGTTGTTTATAACGTTTCTAATGAGACCCGGCGAAGCCTGTTTTAAGTCGTACGCCCAACCTATTTTAGCGAATAGATTGAGAAGACTTGTAGTAATATTATTAACGTATGCAAGTTCTGATGCTTTGTAGTCCCACGGGAATGTGTGATGATAGTTGTGCCAACCTTCACCCATCGCTACGGCGGATACCCCCCAATTTTCAGCTGGGCTTATATGTCTATAATCAAAAATAAAAGAATGAAAACTCACAAAGAGATTACTTATTATGCCACTATCTTATTACATTAGAGTTCGTACTTCAGTACTTATTTCGTAACATACTGTAAATTGGTCTCAAGATAGTCAAGTTACCTGTCGTATGGTTTATTTCCCCAAATGTGTGCGAAACTATTGACAGACCAAGTAAAGTTGAGGCTTAGAGCATATCTCAATACAGGCTGCGATAGAATAGCATTGGTCCATGTTTCATCCCAACCGTACACAGGTATCAATGTAGGAAGAAAAAAGCAGAAGAAAAATTTGAATACGTCAAAGTACCTGGAACAAAGATTTGAATGTAGGATTCATATAGAATAACAGTTAAGGATAATGTCTCGTTAGTAAGTTCACCGTCTTCTCGGTCATGCAACGTATTTATTTTTACATCACAGTACCCTATTGCGGAAATTAGGTAGTGAGCGATCATTCAACACCAAGGGGTCTACTTATCGTTTGCCACTTTATGATGGAAAAAGTTAACGATATAATAGACTAGCTATCGCCCGCGACTCTGTCCGCATCGAATTATAAAAAACAAAAATGAGTAGCCTATGCATTCTTCCAGATTATCCTCTATATTTATACCTAATTTCATCGAGATCCGTTCAGCCGTTTAGGCTACAAACTTTAACAAACATCCATCCATCCATATAAACTTTCGCATTTATAATATTAGTATGAAGTATGATATTCACAATCTTGTTCATTACAGTGAGAATTTACTTACTTGGTATGGAATTGTATGAGGGGATCATTAGCTATATCTCTCATGTCTATCTTCCTTCCTTCTCTGATGACGGCTGGATGTTTCTTCATCATCAGCCATCCGACGTGAGAGAAGAAGAAACCGCGACGAGCGTCGTGCGGGTCAGCTGACGTCTCGGAGAACTTATGATGGATCCGATGGTCACGTACCCAGTTATAAATACTGTTCTGTTAATCAAAAATCACTATTTTAAAGATAAAATGTGCTGCTCTAAAATCGGATATCTAACCGCGTAATTTTCATAGTACTTAGATTTCAGCATCCTTCGGTAAGAGGCGTCTTGAAAGCGTAATAAACTATGTATTTTAGTTGCAGTTAATGTAATCTAGAAACAGTTAGCGCTTGTAAGACTTGCTTATGATTCTTGTTTAAAATTTTTGTTGCGATACTAAAAACTGGCTATACAATTACTAAATATTGTTGTAAGTGAAACCTATTTGGTGTTTTGCAGTGTAAGACTGGCCGTATTTAAATAATGACATAAGTTAATTTAATTTGAGTTGTTCGAATGTAGAGAAAAAGAACATGTCTAGAATCGTATAAAAATAATATCTTGTTTTTATACACCGTTGTATTGATATTAGTTTATATGAGAATAAATAACAATCTTTATTTATTTAATCATTTTTGTGTGCTGGCTAAACCAAATTCCTATCAAATATTCGCTGTATAGGAACAGATAAGGCGTAGTTCCGCCGAGGATGCTTAAGATAATAGTATCGGAGTAAGGATCTTTATTGTCAGTCATTGTATCGAAATAACTATTTAAATACCTGACCAGCAACGGAATAACAGATGACTAGAATGATTTGCAGCGGAAAAGTGGCTTTGTACGATCTGTGCGTCCAATAGCGATGGACGCCGGCAGTCACACCGAATCCTGCCACTTGACCCATAATGTAACCTGAAAGTAAATAGTTACATGACTTATGTTTTGCTTTAGTGACATAAATGCAATATGGATGAATTTAAAATAAGGATCAAGTTATGTATATCGTACCAAATAGAAATGTTTGCCATTTTGGTATATTGCCTATAATAATAGAATAAGCTATTGATAATACTGTAATCAAATGGAAGATTACAATAGGTATAGCGCTTGTCCAACGAATTGCTGTTACAAAGCCCATTTTCTTTTCCCATTCACGTAATGGGAACAAATATTCTGGTTCCTTAGGACGCGTTTCTTCGTACACACTGGATATCTTAACAGAACAATCATCTTGTCCGTTGTAATTGCTGTAGATTTTACTAATTGTCTTCAAACAATCTTTCACCTTCGTAATCGTTGCGAATGCCATTTTCTGTAAAGAAATTTAAGTGTGATCATATACAGTACGTTAATTCTGCGATAAAAGTACATAAAATAAAAAAAAAGAAATAACACAATTTTTCTATCGACATTTCGTCGCTCTAAAATAACGGCGCAGAAAGCTCTTTGATTTCAGAGTTATACAATTAAACGTTACTAAACTTAAAGATATGGGTTGTGACGTTTCGTATATTAATTTCAATACACGTGAGATTTGTCACGTGTATGCCCCGTTCACGTGTTATCGGGACACGTTATGAACATCCATTTATAATTCCGTCAGACTTAACAATATCGGAAGGGTTATCAATCAATAGACAAAATAAGTTGTTTCATGCGTAGCTGTTTTATGAGGCTATAATTAGACTTTAAACAATGGTTACATGTTTTCAAACGTATCCTGTTTTATTAAAACTGACAGTATAAGTAAAAAGTCTGTATTTCAGAGAGCTAGGCAAGAAAGTACGACAATTATTTGATATACTCTTATTTCATTACTCAACTAATCGATAACGAAATAAGTGTAGTTAGAAGAAAAGTGGTATTCAACGCGAATGAGAATTTATACGAAATCATCTAACCAATTTCACTTTTCCAACACTAGTCAAACATCCATCTATTACAATGTATATAATTGTATTTTTTTAATTCAATGTGTATTTTTATAGACTCCTTTACCACAATTTAACTGTGGGAATTGTATTCAGCCGAGGAAAATATTACTAAGATTTCTAACATAGCAGTTGAGGAATCTTGAGATTAAATTTTGTTTAGCATTTTAACTTAGCTTGCTTTATTGTGCTGTAAGAATTTACAATATCGCGACGTCAAATATTCATGATTAATAATTAACTGCTGGTTAATAAATTGTTTTGTGACGCTTGTTCTTTACAATATATCATCAATTTTCCGTGGAATTGTATTCCTTTAGAATAATATACGTAGGAAAAGTGCGTGTTAAACTGACTTTGTAACTAAATTCTTATAGCGAAGCACTACACAGATACTAAAACATTTTTACCATCATTTTTGTTTAAATAAATTATGAAAGGCTAAAGAAATGTTGTACGAGGACTACGGTTAAAGATAAGTCAAAGGTAAACTAAATACAATATTTGCTGTATTTTTTGCGGCCTGTTTCGAAAAAAGTAACTTGTGATATATTTTATTGTAAGCCATGCGAACTAAAAAGATGTGTACAATTCTGAATTTACAATAAATTAGAATTTGTATGTTTTCCTTTTCAGATGTTCTCCAAAGTATGTTTTCTAAACATTATTGTGTGCATTATTTTAACCGGGGTTATAGAAGCGAGATGTCCTTTATCTGTATTAAATGCTTTTCCTTTAATATTGGAGTACGCAGTGTGGCGTGGTTGGAGTCAAGCTCTCTTGTACACATCTCAATTGGAACCAAGTATGTTATCTACTTATAATGTTTCACTAATTGTGTTACCATTTTAACTAATAAAACATCCAGTTGTAACCGTTAGGGAGAGTTATTCATCGAAGAATATGATAAATATATAGAAATTAATTACGTACCCGCAATCATATGAAGGTTTATCACTGAAATTGTCACACAGAATTATTCTTCACTTTTCTCACTTGACAATAGGGACAGTCAATCTTAATGTTCCTTTGAATTAAACTAAACTAAACTGTGAATTTCATGGAATTGATTACTATCACGTTCAGTTGATATACGTGTCTGTGATGCTTTCGCGACACCAACCACGCATTCATTTGGTCACGTACTGTCTCATAACGAATCAATTTAGCAAATAACTTATCATAATAATTAATTTAATCTCGATTTTAATGTGACTTAATCGAATATGTAATAAAAAACGCTGTGTCTAGATCGATATTTTCGGCGATTTCACTTTTATACCGCATGCATATTTGCTTTTATGATTCGAGACTAGGTGTTGATCCTAGATTAACGATCGATTTGACATTACTTGTCTCGGTTTACTTTGTAAATGTTAGTTTCGAGGTTGCTGTATGTCAACAAAACAAACAAATTGTTACTATTCATAAATAATATAGCTTGCACAATCTTAAACTCTCTGATATTCGCTAGCCTTATCACCTGCTATAATATAGTCATATTAAGTTTATTATTTTGAAGTTAATTATTAGGGGTCATTGTAAGAAAGTTAGGGAATTTACGAGTATGGCAAAAAAACATTAATTAGTAAAAAATCGGTGGTAATTTAACCTTGCTTGCTGGTTACTGATTACTTAATTTAATTAATGACGCATCGTCATATACGTTATTAGCACGTAAAATAAATGATCGTTGGGAACAATGTGGTTAATACAAAATAATTGGAATACTGTTTTAACACCTATAACACTGTTTTTTTGACGCTTCATACGCAATTCCTTAAGTTATTTCATCCAAGACCACAATTCCAAGTATATTTACCACAATTCCTTGTATATTAATTTGTGAAGGTTGTGACTGGGCTGCAGTTCGGCTAGTTAAATGTTTGGGACTAAATGGAATAGCGACGGCAGTTGATGTTACAAAGAAACCTAATGTTACATCTAAATTGGGAGTTGCGGTTATTTTACCAACATTTCAACACAATGAAACTAACAGCTTTGATATTAATATTAAAAAGGTAATTTCATATGCGTAGATGCTTATATTTGTCTTGAATGTCTTTGATTTAAGAAAATGTGAGATAAAACGTTATTTGTTTACAGTTACATGATACTGGAATGAATGAAGCTTGGTTTGATTGGTTGATCACGGCTCGAACGCACAATGATTACGAGCATGTTCACAATATACTCAACGAGACTGCCTTACGATTCGATGCAAATATCGTTGTTGCATATCCCATATACAAACAGAGATTTGGAAATAAAAATATTGGATTATGCGATAATAGTTTTAGATATAAAATGGATGAAAACGGATCCACCAATAAATCAAAAACTTCATACAACAAACGTAATGGAAGTAAATATTCGGATTATACGAAAAATCGTTACGGAAATGTCCGCCAGAGGTTTACAAGATTTAAGGATTTGAAACGAAATACTACATATAAAAGCGGTAATAGATATTTACCTTTACTCGCTTCAGGATCCGTATATTATAATTATTCAAGATATTTTTATACAGTTAATATAAGTAATTTATTCTCTAACATAACTGGTGGGATTGATTTGAATTTAAAAAAGACAAATAATTACCAAATATTTTATCTTGTGCAATATTTTAAAGTGCGTATAAACGGATCTTTATATGGAAGTCCTTTAGGTATGTTAACCTCATTGTATTTAAAACACATTGTTTTTAAAAATGCTTTAACTAAAACAATGATATGGTTAATTTATCAGATAGGGGTAAATTTAATTCATCCGAATCTATTGTTGACCGACTTCCCAAAAGAAGGAGGTACTCGATTCGTCTGTATGTTTTCTAAAATTTCTTTTTATGTGTGTTATAACTCCGCCGCTAGTAACCGATTTTGATAATTACTTTTTTTTTATCTGAAAGGTAGTGCTTGCCGGTAGGTCCCATTTTTTTGTTTGATTTTTTATACAGTTATGTTACAAAAACATTTTCCTTTACTCTATATTTTTATAAGGTTTCCATCCACAATGAGAAAACATACTGTCTACGTATTCTTTTGTGCTGTGTTTTGTTATCAAATACAGAAACCGCTAGGAGTGTGATTTTTCGTGCGAAGGTGTTACATTACTGCATTGATGTAATTGAATTTGTATTTATTGAAGAAAAACATTCTTGATGATCTTAAAAAACGAGTAGCTAATAACAATGTTGTATTAATTAGTTAATTACTTAATTTTTTTAAGTCATTATTAGCAACAAAGAAGAAGATATTGAGAAAGAATTTCGGACATGATGATGTGTTTTTGATGAGAGTATCCACAGTGAAATCCCGCGGTTATTTATTTAATAAACTATTTAATGTTACAGGAATATGGGACAGAAATCTTTCAATGTCATTAGTAAAACCGCCGCACCCCGTCGAAGCTCGTAACTTCGTAGGCGAACATTTCAGAATTGGTTCGTGTAATTCTTCTGAAGAAGGTGTTGAAGCAAAAGACATAGACACGAGTTTATTTAACGATGTCCTTTATTTTCTAACCGATCGACTTAATGCGACGTGAGTTTTATTAGTTTTTGAAATCACAGCACAAGTAAATGGACATATAATTAAATTGTCGCTTTAACCTCCATAACATTTACAGGTCTTATATGCAATACTACAGTAAATTAGGATTTCAAACGTATGAAGGTACTTGGACTGGTCTACTGGGAGCTTTAATGGACAACTCTATAGACATAGCGCTAGACCCTGTGACGTCACACGGTTCCCGAAATCAGAATATGGATTTTATCTTCCCTCTAGCGGAAACAATGTGAAGCATAATTATTTACCTATATTGTCTTTCAAAATGATTTTTAATTTTACTCGCATTTATTTAATAGATGCATATTTTTCATTCAAAATAGTATGATATGCTTGAGGTATGTCATACTATTTTGTATGTAAGATCATATGTGATACAAAATTACAGGTTTAATATTTACATTCGTGAACAAGAAACTACATCAGTGCGGGACATATTCTTGGCGCCGTTTAATCCTATCTTACTGGGATGTGTGTTCGCGATTGGTATTGTATCAACAATTGTAATTTACGTCATCAGCAAATTGGCGCCTTCCGTGACTAACTGCAGGTCGATGGGATTTACAGAGGCATTAATTTGGTCCACTGGAATATTGTGTCAACAAGGTCTGTGTTGTTGAGTTTGTGTAACAAAATGACGTCATTAGCAGAATTTCGACATGATAGGGTTGCATATTATTTATCTGAAATAGCTTTGTATGCATTGTACAGTTTAATCATTATTGTTATATCTTCACAGGTGGTTCTTCGACTCCATCAAATCCCGCAGCAAGCATATTGCTGATAGTCTGTCTCCTATTTGCGTTGGTCACGTATAATTCATATGCAGCTTTTATAACTTCAGTGTTATCTGTGAGAGTTGCCAGTGTTGATACAGTGTCAGCTGTACTCCAGTCATCTGACCTGAAAATTGGTTATATTCGAAATGGTCCGGATCAAATGTATTTGATGGTAAGTGGATTTAGTAATTAAATAATGTCACGTCCACTGCAGTATGCCTATTTATCTTATTTAAGAAATATGCATCATATACCACTTTCCTCCGTACTCTCTTATCCATAATTAAGTTATAACTCCATAGTATAAGTATTAAAGCTGTGTAGTGTTAAAGATTGGACAGATGCTCTTGAAGTGGTAATCTTCTGAAAATAATCTTCATTCTGTTAAAGTCTACAAAAGACGTTCAGCTGAACGCATTCTACATACGCGGCTATTCTGAAGCTGAAAATCTTGTGTCGTCTGCAGAAGAAGGATTGTTCCGTGCAGCAAAGCAAGATTATGCGTTTTTCTCTGAACAAAGAGCAGCACGAAAAACGTTAAGGTATGGTTTTTCACTTGGAGGTTATATTCAATTTCTGATGTTTATTTGAACTGAACTTTTCTGTAGTGTTTTGTATAAGTAATGCGACGGATGCTATTATTTTTCGTTGCTGTATATTTCATATAAAACGATATCAGTATGACGTAAGACATCGCGTACATCAAATTGCAAAATACAAGGCTACGTGATCTAAATTCCAAATATACATACAAAGAGATTCAGTTGTTGGTCCATATTTATCGAGATAACGGTATTGACCGATGATCTGCTAATGTATCGCATCCATTTCGAAATCTAGACCGTATTTTAAATTTTCTGAAAATGAGCATTGTTAGCAAATTATAGAAATGAGATTGCAGCAGATTTTGAGATTCATTCCATTTGGTTAAGTACCTAAAATCTATGATCTGTCACTATACTCTTACCAAACCATTTGTTGTAAGATGTAATCATAAAGAAACTATCGCTGTCCTTGAATATCTATAAAATCCAGATAACATATGGCAAATTTAAGGTGATAGCTTAAACTTTATAGTTACATTACCTATCCTGTAATTTGTAATCTTCGACTAAAATATCGAGGGTTTAAAGTCTTTTATTCTTCAGTTTCTCTTTTAAATGCAACAGAGATTACCCTCAAATACCCTGCACTTACCATGTTAGTAATTGTTTTTTTAAAAATACGAGTATTGCTACAGATCGCTGAGTCAGGCACGCGGACGGTGTTCGTTACGTGAATTGGCAGTACCTTCAACGCGAGCTCAGTTGGCATTCCCACTATCAAAAGGTTCGCCGTACGCACGGCCTATATTAGTCAGGTAGGTTGTCTGAAATAACGCATAGAGATATAGCCGCTATAGGCAGTTTGTATCTAAAACAGATTTCCGTTGTAGCATCTGGGGCGCATATCTTTATATTCTCTTTTCCTATACATATACGCAAACATGATATTTGGATACGGGTAGTTAATGTTATGTGTATTGTGTCAGATTGCTGCAGCTGCGCGGTGCGGGAGTGATGGCGCGGCTGCAGACAGCTTTGGTGCCCGCCATGCCGACGTGCGAGCCGCCACCGCGCTTCGCCTCCCCCCGCGCCGCTGATGTCCGATCTGCTCTGCTTGTTTTTCTCTTTGGAGTTTTTGCTTCTATAATAATTGGTTAGTACGACTAACAGAAGTGATAAGTAAGTGCCCAATTTCTGTAAATTTTATATAAAAAAGAAAATTTGACTAATTACAAAACTAAATATTTTTCTTATCATTTTTAGGAATCGGAGAATACTGTTGGTACAAACGCTGTCAACTAAAGAAGTATGTAATTGGATACTTTAAGCGCGCTGAAAATATTTTCAAATAGTTAAGTTGTTGTAAACCATGACAAGGTTAGTGCTTTAGTTTTAGCTGTTAGGGTGGCATTTTGACAAAGAAATAGGCAATTTTGCACTGATGTGTAGGTTTATGTTGTTTGTGTATTGTAGTTGTAAATAATACATATAAGATTTTTCGAATGAAAAATATTGACATTAATAAATTATTAATTTTATTATTTAATTTGCAAAATCTTGTCTTAAATAGTGATCTTCAGGTAAGCGTTGTTGCTTTGTCGCCTCTTGAAGGCAGAGTTTTAATGGTTTCTTAGTTTTGATAGTCTCGGCCAGCGCCGCATGTACTGTTGTTGACTCCATTGTGCGTAAGTCCTTGGCTAGACGAAGTGCGGCCCATACTCGAATAAATGCAGTCGAACAACCTGCATCTAAAAATGAAAAATGAAAGCTGGAACATTTCATGTTTAAACGACATGAATTGCAATTCTAATATTCTTACACTAAACTTAAAATGCTGGAAAATAAATGTTCAGAATATTAAATATCACAACAAACATAAATCTCGTGTTTCAATATTTGAATTCGAATTAATACAGTTTACTTTAAACATGTATTCAAGCAAAGACAGACCAACATTATTTATGAATACAGTGGAATATATTATAGTCATAAAACTGTTTATTTTATCTGAATTATTAATATGCTATTATAGGTTTTAATTTGATTTGTGTCAATTTAGGCACAAAAATGTTTGTATGCTCGATGAAAGTGGTTTCGATCCAGATATACGACATAATTGTATCAACAATATGAATACTTAATATATTTACAATCAAATATTTATCTTAACGATAACCACAAAAACACGATTGCACAATCTTGTTTGTACTTTATTTTTTTATTTATTTTGACTTGACCGCGGCGATGGTATTTTTGTTCGTTTTATTGTATCGTGTGTCGTGTTCAATGTATTTGTAAGCTACTGGGTTTCGGTAATATCATATTCAAATCGTTCTTCAATGCGTTTTAGGCGTACCCTCAGTCAGATTTATTTTGTTTAATTGAATCCTTAGACGCTAAAATTAGTAGACAAACACTTACCATATGAACCATATTCTCCAGATTTATAATCACGAGGAATAAGATAATGGTAATGTGGCCAAAAAGATCTATTGAGGAAGAATACCGAGTTTGAGTCTGATGGGTACCTGTAAATATTTACTGATTAACATATTGTTGGTATACTTTTCATCTTACTAATATTAAAAATCCAAAAGTTTAGATGAATGTTTGTTAGAGTTTGTAGCCTAAACGGCTGAACGGATCTCGATGAAATTTGGTATAGATGTAGAGGATAGTCTGGAAGAACACATAGGCTACTCACTTTTTTTTAATTCCACGCGAACAGAGTCGCGGGCGAAAGCTAGTCTTTTTATATTTTAACTCCACGTGGAAGATGGACTAAGAGACAAATCATTGTCGCTTCTTGATTTTAGACATTGAATATTAACATGCTAAAATAAGGTTATTAAAACAGTTACAATATATGATCATACAAATTAGCATACTGCATTATCATATTAATATTTACTAATCGAATTCGTACATGTTCACATTTTTATTATTCATATAAAATAACTAGTTATATCTATTTCATACGGAATGGAAGGGAAGCGTTGTTTTGGTTATACACCGTTATAGTAAAATTCATAGATTAGTATAGTATTAAGCCAGCCACACACCTTTAGTTTTAACTGCAAATTCTTTTGTTTTTCACACGACATGAACGAACACTCTGACGATTCTTCAGATTAAACCAAAAATGTGTAGCCGGCTTTAGTTGAATCTAACTTATAACTATTATGTTACAAGGAATTATTAACTTATCGTTTTGTTCGAGACCCCAGATGCAGAATCCGCTTTCGATGAGCCAAGACGCGTGCAATACTAATGCATAACGCAGAAATCCAATCACGAATACCGCGCTCATAACAGAATCGTCCCAATACTCTAGCGGTGCGTTCAGAGGCAGTAGCAGGAATAAAACTGCGTACAGCAACCAGTAGAAACTGAAAATTTGTAGTTAGGTGTATATTTATTATTCCTTAGCTGATAAATTTTAGAACTATCTTCAGAAAAACTTTAAACACAGCGTGTGTTTTAGTGTTCTGCTATTTAAAAAGCAACTATAACACTATGTACTAAGGTTCAAGATTGTTCGCGGTTAATACCCAGCGGCTACCAAAAGGTTAACAGCGGGTTAAGCTGATTGTTAAAAATTTGATCAGTCTTACTTCTTTTGAAACATCACTATAGAATCATTTTCTATGTCGGACATATCAATCTGTTCTTTAAGTTTTTCTTGATAAGGGCTAAGTTTCTTTAAGCGTGTCAGCATGTGAGCATAAAGGAATCCCTTTTTGTGATCGTATGGGTCTACATCTGTCCCGAAGAGAGCGTGATGCAGTCTGTGGTACTGCACCCAGCTGTATATTGATCCCTGAAAATAATTTTGATGTGATATAAAAATACTACTTATAAAAAATATAACTATTTACATGCCAAAGTCAATGTTGATGATAGAATTTTAAAAGCTTTTTATTATCTTTTTTGTATTATTTTCATTTTATTATTTTTGTTAAAAATAAACTACTAATTTCTACCGAGATAAATGTAAAAACAGTTGGTAGTTTTTAAGTGAAAAAAATAAAGTGAGATTTGAGGGTGGTCGGCATATAACTTGTACGTGGACCGCCAACCGAACTGTGCGCACCCATTGTTTGTGAAAAGTGTGTTTTATTTAGCTGCACCGCCGCCATCCCTTATAGTTAAAGTAGTGCTTTTGCTAAGTGTAAATAATGAAATGAATGTAAATTAATCTACAAGGAGACATTACCTAAATGGAGTAAATAACTTTGATACTATCTATTTTGAAGAAAAGCGAATAACAAACTTTTACATACAAAAAAGTACTTCCGATCATCAATACTACGACTAATACCACTATTAAATACTATTGCAAATAGTTTTATATCTTACTAATATTATTAATCTATTAGTAAGTAACCTTACTAATAATATTAAAGTTTGTAGCTTGAACGGCTGAACGGATCACGATGAAATTTATCATAGATGTAGAGTATAATCTGGAAGAACACATAGGCTACTCACTTTTATTTTTTTAAATTCCACGCGGCCGTAATCGCTGGCCAAAGCTAGTATAGCAATAATTTTTAAAATCTCATTTGAAATATACCTGTCCAACTAACGTGTGTAGAAGCATGAGGACAAATCTTAATTCTTTAGTGGCAGTGTAGGTGCGGTGTGCCCACAGCCGGTGTGCGCCTGTGTTCACTGCAAGCGTTGCGAGCGAGGTCAGTGTTACCACTGAAACATGCATATTAATTAGTTGGAGTCGTGATCATTCACTACATGCATTCTTTAAAATAAATTGTTTCGGATTTTGAAAGAAAATTTAGGCTTTAGGCCCTTCGTACACAAGGCGATGTAAATTTGAAACCTGACGATTTATGTTGCTAAACGATTTACGCAATACAATAGTATAGAGGTTCGAACAGACACGCGTCCACATTATTATCATCGCCAATGCCAGTCGCTCCCAGTCTGTTACTCAAGATCGTTGTTAAAGAAGTCGCTTCGTCAAGACGGCGGAGTAAATTCATACAGTTGATAAGTAGTCGGTATGCCTGTATTTACCTGAATGAGTCGTGTGGATAATTCAATATTGGGTGAACGGCGCGATAAGCTAAGCGATACTCGTGACGCAAAGTTAGTTTCGAAGATTTACGTCACCTTGTATACTACATTTACATTAAAAAATTAAAAAAGAACTCAGTGATCACTTACATAATAACACAGTCATCCATTTGACTTCAAAAAATAGTAGCCAGATTCCGTATATAGATAGAAGGTGTATATGTATGAAGAACAGTACTGCGGGCCAATCAGCCTCTCGGCTTTTGCTCAACTTTGACAGCTCACTCTTTGAACCATTCTTTGACGTTTCACCGTTTACCTCCGTCATCTCTGTAAAGGCGGGAAAAATATTTAATACTAAAAAATTCTTTATCTACAATAGATCGTATATTTTCGTTTTTGATAAAAAATGTGCATGTTAAAAATCTTTTAGATGTTATAATCTGGCTACTATACTACTTGATAGAGCAGAGTTCACTTAACTCTGACTTAACTTCATTTAACTGAAATCTGTTAAGATTGCCAACGAGGTAACATACCGTAACATTATTCAAATACTAAAATGCATCTATATCTATACAAAATGTATATTTTATAATCGAAATTATAACCTTAAAGTTGCCTTAAGCAGCCTTTTAAACAATTCATAATTTTCTTCAAAAATAACGTTGACTTACTGTATAACGAAATTTCTACAATGAAATGTTTTAGGTTAAATCGTTTATTAGATTACGCAATTGTAAATCTAACAGTTCTAAAAGCCCTTAGATTGCTTAATTCTAGAATGCTATATGTAAATAAAATTCTAAAGGTTAGTATAACCGCAAATATTTTTATGCGAATTATAAAGGTAAATAAATATAAACTTTACCTTGGACATTTATAAGATTTAAAAAACAAGAATACTATCGTCACTTATATTACTGGCTTTATACAACAACAACGCTTAAGGAACTTGGCAACATTCCTATGTTTACAGAATATTATTTTGAACAACAAATTAATACACTACCAATCACAAGTATTTAAAAAACGAATACTTAATAAACAATAAATTTCGACACTAGCCCAATCCGCTGAGGGAGAGCCATAAACAAGAAATAGAATAGAATAAACAATAAATGCGTTGGCTCATTGCCTGAATCAGCAACTGTATGACGCGGTACTTTACTGAGTAGAATACAATGTAACTACATTGTCAGCTCTCAAATTACTTAGAATCGCATGTCGACTTGTCATGCAGAACTTTGTTACCTAGAAATTACTTATTCCGCAATTGTATGAAATTAATGAGCTCAATGGAAAGATTTAAAAAAAGCCATGATTTGTCATTTTTTAAGGTAATATTTATTAACAATTAAACGTTTGTGATAGTTTTGTTGATGCTATCTTCGGAACCTTATCGTATGTTTATTTTCAGTTTATACTAGCTTTTGATCGCGACTCCGTTCACGTGAATTAAAAAAAATACTTAGCCTAATGTATTCTTTCTGAATTTCATCTCTCTGCTCGATTTTGCCAACATCATAACAAATAACAGAGCGTCCTACAGATCTATAAAAATATAAAATAAAACCGCGTTTTTAATGTCTAAGTACGTCTAAGTACACTTAGTGAGTGCACAACCTAACACTAAGTTTAGTGTTAGGTCGTTTGTGTTAAGTCGTGCATATTTGAGTTAATTTATAGAAACAATACGAAAATTAAACATCACAATTAACATATCCCAATGTTGGGTTAAGGATCAGGGAATGCTATTGTGTGCTAATGTAACATTTCTGTTGTTTGACTTTATTATGCACTTAAATTGTGTGTAATTTTTGAATTTGTGTCCGGAATAACGCAATGAAATGGATTCAAAACAGTTGTAATCAACTTTGATATAGAAATCCACCAGATTCAACACAACTACGCATAATCGATCGACCAATCGTCGTCTGCTTGTACTCATACCTTAATAGTTAAATTAACAAACCTACTCTAACTTAGTAGTGACTAGGTTTTAGTCAAGTCTCACTGGTATTGTGCGTATTGGTTGAAAATAAATTCCTTCCTTTTATATCTAGATTTAGCCTGTAGTGCAGAAAGGGATCACAATAGGTGCATGTATGATTTGCCTCGACGTGTTTGTTTGGTTAATTATTTTCGCTATCTCCGTGTACCCAGACATCTTCAATGTTTTACATTTCCTTTAGATATTTAGTAAATATATGGATTTCCTAGCATATTTGTCTAGCATAATGTATTTCACACATTAACGGGCGATTTTAGGAGTTATATATATTGAATACAATGACGGCTTACATATATTTCCGTTAACATTGATAACCGGTGGAACGATGTTGGTAATTCGGCGGTTAACACATACCTAAGGTAATTTTATGCTCTGATGATTGCTTTCATTAACACACGGCGGTAAAACACTCGGCGAAGAAAATAAATAAACAACATTTATTTTGCCCTTTACATGTGCTCGTGGTGACACGGACTATGTATACGAAATAAGAATATTTTTATGTTAAAGTAATTGTTATGTGTAGGCATTCTTATTTGCGAGTTTCCAGTCTAAATGGTTTACGGCAGTGATTCCCAAAGTTGACCAGGTGTACCCCCTGGGGTTCATTGGATACCCGGCGGGGATGCACGATCATCCGCTATTGCGAATGTCTATGGGCAGCGGTCGCTTCGCCATTTTGGCGGATTTGGGTGGCCGCTTGCTCATTTGCCTTACGATATAAAAAAAAGATGCAAATGTGGGTCCACGAAAATCTTAGGTGTGCCTGCGTGTGAACCACCAACATGTAATTTAAAACTTTGTATTGTGTACGAGGATAAAAGTTTGGGAACTCCAGGTTTACAGTAAAGAAATAATTTATATCATTCTAGTGAGTTTCGGTTAATTAATTTAAATATGGTAAATGTTTAGTAAAACATTTCGCGTATATTCCAAATACGTTCTCTAGTATGCTAAGAAAAATGTTTATTAGTTTCAACTGTATTATTGCTAATAGGGGATATGCATGTATTTTTTTTCTTTTTTTAAACGATTCTACTTGTTATAAAATAACCAGAAAAGAAAATTAACGCGAAAATATTTAACCAATGAGCTAAAACTAATAAAATGAAATTACGACCATTTTCGAGCGACTATAACGCGACCAGAGTTGACATGCGACAATTGACGTCAATCGTCTTATTCCATTCATAATATACGCTCAGATGTCACTTCGACGTAAAAAACAACAAAGTATCTCAAGGTCAAAAAGTCAAAAATCGATTCATTTTTATCATTCCTGGTACAAATAAGTGGTAATTAATAATTCCATTCATTAAATTTTATTTTAAAGTTGGTTTTGATATCGTGTTTACAGTAAAATACTTCAAGAGTGTATTTCTATATAAAGTAACGTAAATTAACTGTATATTGACAACACAGCGACGCCATGTTAGATAAGCCACTTGCTTCGACCAATGGTGCGCGTTATAGAACTTAGCGAGGGAATTTAAAAAAGACACTTTTTAATGATTAAATTTTGCCACTAAATCACATTATATTTAAAAAAAAATGCAGGAATGTTTTTGTAGTTATAAAGTATACTTAAAAAAAGTTTGGTACAAGTTGGCGTCATATGCATATTGCCTATTAGAATAAATAAGCAGGCAAAGAACCTGTGAAAGAATTATGATAAAGTAATATAAAACATACACTCACCTGTTTGAAGTAGCAGGGACTTCTGCTTCCCTCGTCGGCCATACAACGACTGTTTGTATCAAGGTATTGATAAAGGTACCTTTTTAATAAACATGTGGGTGATAGTTCGAATTCCAATACATAAAGTATTATCGACGGCATTGTCCGGTTCATTAAAACGTTCTGAATTTGGACATTTCCATATGTAAATGATAAATATAAAATTACTGCACTAGTCTTTTAATAAGTTGATATTTAATACAAATAGATGGTACAGTTATCAAATAAAATTTTATTAGTTAAATGCTTTTGTTTGCGCAGTACATATATCGAACGGTTTTACTTGGTTATACTTTCAAGGTCTGGTTCTCGAATAGTTACGATAGAGTAGTTTTACTTGATTTTATATAATCTAAATAAATCAATAATATAACTAGGCCTCTTTGTTACTTTTTCTACGGGCTTTCTAATTTTCTAGTTTTATTGTACATTATTGTACTTGTTTGTATTTGATATTTTTCTATATTAATATTTTCGTTGGCGGCACTGATATTCCGCGTGATACCACCGCAGCAAAAGCCCTCGCTTCACCTTTATTGTTTCTGATAATCTTACCGAAAATTGTTAAATACTATCGCAGCGCCTGTGAAAAAACTTACTGTTACATTTGTCTTTAAAAGAGAATAGGCGTTAATACATTTTTGTAGAGCAGTTCGATGCGGAGCTTACAGTCGCATTTATAGAACAAAAGATATTTTCTGGGAAAACATTAAATTTCAATTCATTCCGAATAATCCTCTCTTTTAATTCTTAAGTACAATATCCCAATAGCCGTTTTTCCTTTTATATTGTTTTGTATAACTAAAGCTCTTCATTATTTTAATTCATGAAGGTTTTCTGGGGCTTTTTTTTAATGTATGATTTTTTTGTGTTTAAAATGCACGTGTTGTAAATCACTTCGGATCGCAGCTTCATCTACTTTTGAAAACGTTAAAAGTATGATCGTGTAGGAATTCAGTAAAAGACAGGTACAGGGAAAATTGTTTTATTACGACGATTGAAAAGAAAAAACGGTTATGACATTCATAGTTTATTAAAATGCTATTAAAATATAACAAAAAATGCTATTCTGTCTACGACGACCGGTTACAGATGGCGGTGAAACTAGTAGTAAAGTACAAGTAATATCCATAAATTCATTAATTTTAAATTAAGCTCTATTTCAAATAAGCTTCTGATCAATAGCAAACATGCTTTCTTAGAATCTCCAGTAGTGTATATTTAAGTTAAGCAAAGGTAAATAAAAACTATATCGATTGAATTTCAGAGAAACTGAGAACTTACTACGAACATATGTGAGAACGTTTTCGTAACGTTATTGAAAAAATGTATTAAAATAACGAAAACGTTCTCGCAACTGTCACTCAAATGTTGTGATACACCCTCTGTGCGTAAGTCTACAATTTTCAATCGTAATTCGCATAATGTAACAACAATAAAATAACATTTAATATTGTCTTAAACAACATTAATATTTACATATAAAATATTTTGTAAATATGTACAGTGATTATATCAAGCAGTATTGATTAATAAAACAGTAAACATCAGGACACGGAATGTCGTTATGGGATGCCCATACATACTGAAAGTCGTGTTGAATAACTTTTATCTCTGTCAGGCAACATTGAAAGGGATCTTTCACCTATTTACAACTTAATGTAAAATGATGTAGACATAATTTAAGAATTTTAAACAAATGTACGTTACATTATTTTATTTATAAGTACTTTTGGAAAACTAATAGCAGTCTTAATATAATTAACAATGGGCAACATATTTTGGCAAGATGATTAAGAAATGATTTGGTTGGAAGTAAATAAACAAAACAATATTCCTAATTCCATTTATAAGTAACTAATCTACCTACCTAAAGTAAGAACATTTATAACGTAAAATATATTAGTAACAAGTGAAATAATATTTCTTTGAGCAAATATTTTTAGTATTAAGACATACTTAATCTGATTTTTGTTACATTTTCTTACATAAAATTCTAACACGTCTATCTTTGTCTGACATTTACACTACATATTTACAATACTATTTAGCAGTTACTAATAATAAACATATTCATAATTATAAATTAATCTCTCCATTGGGGATTTTCGGTTTTGTATTGTTGGGGAGTTGGAACAAAGGTATAGGTCATTTCAAACTTTTTGCAGGCTTGAAATCAGTTTCTCGCTCCAGCGTCCCGCATCGTTTATTCAAAACAGGTACGAATTTTCGAGGGTCCAGAATGTTAAAACCTGGATAGCTATGTTTAAGCTATTTTTCCTTAGTAACATTTATTAATATTAAAGTTGTCAATAGACTTTTTGTTTTATAAAAAGAAAATACCCATTTATTTTATACATTTTTCTAAAATTAAATACTAACAGTTCAACTGCACAAAACTGGGCACCACTCGTAATCAACCCTGTTTTAAATCTTCACTAGGCAATTCCAAAATTTTATATAAAACTGTACATACGCTAAACATATTGGGTTCCTCGTTTTTATACAAAATTTACACGTTCGTTTTAATTTCATGCTAGCGTGAATAATTAATGATTAATTTGACCTTCGCTTCTTTATAACGTCTGTGTTTTATTAATTTTTTTATTACATTACAATCAACTAGCGATCCACCTATATTTCACCTGGGTGGCAAAGAATATAAGTTTTACATCTTGTTACCTTTCGCATTGATGTTAAATATAGTCCTCATTACTCACTGATAATCATGTTTTCTAAGGGCAAAACATTTTTTAATGGTTCAGTAGTTTTGGAGTCAATACAAATAAAGAAATAAATATTTTCTCGTTATCATAGCACAGATTTTTTAACACCAAGTAAATTAGAAAATTCCATGTGAAATTTCTTTGTTGTTTCATGGAAAAGTCAAATTTAGTTTATTACCATGTTTGTGTATCTTTTTAAAATATCAGTTTGTTATTAAATGATTTTTACAGATAGATCCTGAATATCTTTCAGTTCTAATTGTGTGAACGGTACTGTTTCATTAGTTTTTAAATGACCATGACAGTTCGGACAATAATGTTTGTCTAATTCATTAGTCGTTTTTTCTGGTGATTCGAAGCTTTTTTTCTTCGACGATCTGTTTCCGTTAGATTTATCTGAAAATGGACAAGAAGTTTAGATTCCTGTGATTATTAACAATACTTCATTTACTTTAATGTTTCATTACTCGGAAAATACTTATGAGCTAGTAAAATAATTCAAATTCGGTCGAATAGTTATAATTATCAGGGTTTTAATTGCATGCAAAAACTATCCGTGAAACTAATAGATACTGACAAAAACTATTCGAATTACTCAAAACTTGTTCTTGCATTTCTGTTTTGTTTTATGCAAATTATAGTTGAAAATGACCCTTTAGTGCATTTTTTACACAATTAATATTTTGAGAACTTCTTTATTGGTAGACGATAAAGATTTGTTCATCAGAAGATAAATGGCATGAATGGTCTATGAATGACTTGACGAAATTCAATGCAAAATAATAGAACATTACATTATATATATAAATAAATAGTTTAATTTTGTACATCATATAGGAATTAACATATGCTTGCTAACTAACTTAATTGGAAAACTTTAATGAGCTCACGATGACATAGTAAAAACTAAAATTAAAAAGGTACAATTTTGATGCGGGCGCACGCCTTTAAAAAATCGCTCAACTGTTGTCGAAGCGAATGTCGATTGTTTCGGGGCCAATTCAACTGTACAACTGTATAAATCGAGTAGCGTGCGCACCTTCATATAAGCTCAAAGGATTCAAAGCGAGATAAAACAGTTGTGCGATACTTTAGTTTCAGGTGTGCGCACGCTCTTACAAATATCTAAGAACGTTGGTATTGTTCGAAATATTCCTTTCATATGAAATAAGGGCATACAAGTTCTGTTCAGAATCCTGTTTGAATTTGATTTGTTCTGTTTGACCTATATCATGATGAATGAATTGTTTCGCAAAGTGCTTTTGTTTATTCAATGAGATATCGAATGTTAAAATACAAGACTGTAAAGTTTCACGTATTCTAAAGAACAATATAAATTGTATATATGTTAAAGACTGCTTTTAAATCGTAATATAAAAGTATATACATAGTTGTATTGGTGGGTAAATCGTTAGCGTTTTATGTACTGGTGTTAAACAAGAACCCTTTTTCTTCCCACCCTTTTTCATAAGAATAGGATGAGAAAGGAACGTGGATTTGACAGTGGAGGAGACGCATAGGAAGGGGTAATATCCTCTTTATGTGCGTCTCCTCCTCCGTCGATTAAGGGTAGGCAACGCATCCGCTATTGCGAATCTCTGTGGGCAGCGGTCGCTTCGCCATTTTGGTGGATTCAGGTGGCCGCTTGCTCGTTTGTCAACTCATGATAAGAAAAATGTTATTCTTTCAATATCTGGGCAATATTGTCCTGGTAAGTTTTATTTCTCGTATAGAATATTGTATTAGTATATAAGTACGTAGGATTAAGGAAATATTACGTAATTACAGACAGTAAAGATTGCCTCATTATGCTCAATATTCGATATAAGACGGCCATCGATTTGATCATAATTAATAACAGAAAAAAGAGATCAAGGAAAATGTGTGGAGGAGCAATCTATCGTTATAAAGTATCATCAGCTTAGAATTATACTCGTATTATCAGGGTATATAATAACGTGCTTACCAGATTGTTTAGTGCCGTTAGAAAGTGTTCTTTGCGAGAGAGGCATCGCCGTGTAAAAATCTCTTTTATTACCAGAAAGGTCTTTACCGCCACAGCACCAATGCGCCATTGAGTTCTGAAATTGTTTGAGTTTAATATTACTAAGTTGAAAAGATGGATAGGAATTAGAAAGATATCCCATTATTGCGGACTTTTAGTCTTCAATACAAGGGTATTGGACAACCAAATGCTTTTTGATTTTAAGGGTTTTAGATAATAGAAATACTGAACTTGAAATATGATAAATATATACTTTAAGTGTTGGTTGGACTGTGTAAGTCATAGACAGAATAAAAAGCAATAAAAGAGAGAGTTTTACCTTAAACGCGTCCCTGAATTTGTTAGACATAATATGATAAAAGATCGGATTAATGCAAGTAGACATGTAATATAACACTCCAGAGATGTATGTGACTGTGGAGTAGATGGCGAGGAGTATCGGCGACTTGGGACGATGGTCTTCCCGCGTGCCGTAGATGGCGACCAGCCTCTGCGCGTGAAAAGGCGCCCAGCACACGAAGAACGCGACCACTACTGCAACTGTTTAAAGAAATAAATAAAACTTGTAATCTACAATTACGAAATATACACTACAACAGACTAGAACTGAATGCACTGCTCTTCAGCCTGTACTATAAACCTTATACATATGTCAGAATAACTTATTAAGGTGAATATTAAAGAATTCTATATACACTATCAAAAAATTTAACGTAATAATTTGACGCTAAATTGAGATCTTGCCAAAAACGCGGTAGTAAAATAATATTTTTTAGTCTTAACAATTAATAATATCATTAGAGCAGTGATTGCTTTTAATAATTGTGAACTAAAATGGACATAAGCTTTTATGTTTTGTTTATATATTCAAGTATTAAAAAAAACGTTAATCTGTTCACGGCCGAAGGGTATTACGATTTTGCATGATCATGCTACGTCTTGTTTCATATTACTTAACATGATGGGTAAGTAGGTCGTAATCTGATAGTCAATAGAAGTCGGTGCAAATGGAATACAATGAACCGTGCGTTTACACTGCCGTATACATGTTTTGAAATCTGTACCGCTGCTGTACTGTTAAATGGTAATATAATTAAATATTGCATAAGATAAAAATTTAAAATGGTTAACTATCTATCCATAAAAGCAGGTTACGTAATTTTATATCAATGATTAATTATGATTGTCTTAAATCGATTACAAAACCTATCCCAAGCTACACCCTTTTTCGGTACGGACCGTATGGGTTCTCCACATTCAGTGGCAAACATATAGTTTAAATTTCGCGGGACGGGTTAATGAGGGTAACCGGGCGCATTTTTATTTTCCTACACTAGTGGGTAGTTTTGAATCCCACTCGAGTAAGGCCGTGCGCGGGGCCTGCGAAGAGGTGTGTTGGAGGAAAAGTCGTTTGCAAGTAGCCAAGCAGGTCGGTCGATTAAAAAGTGCGAATTTAAAGGTTACCGGACGTGGTATCTTTCAAAAATTGCTATAGAACGGGGTCGCTTGGTATTTCGGTTTCTCGTTTATAACAATAACGGTGCATACGAGTGAATCTGCCGGAACCATCGCTGGCGCTTATAAACAAACTGAACTAAACTTGACTCGATTTACACCGACAGAGACCAAGCACCTGCAGGCGAGGAGACGAAATCGAGCAGGTGAGTACCTATATCATTTGCCTTGTATACAATATTATGCCCTTAGGTGCAGGTCTAAGAATAGTTAGTCCCGCGGAACCCGATTCCATATCTTAGTTAATTCTTTAATAGATTAATTACCTAGACTGTTTTTAATTGAACAAGTACTAAGATAAACCATTTAAAATGTTTGTTTTTATTTAATCATTTGTATTACAAAAGTACAATTTAAAAATGAAAACATACATCGTAACCTCGATTCCTTGAGTTTACAAAAACGTTGTTACTTAGAGTTTTTTTTACTCTAGTTAAAAATTCGTAAAAAAAGCATCCTCATTGCCACTATGTGATTACACTTCGAGCTCTAAAATTAAACATGTTAGTTCAATTCATGTATAAGTTAACTTGTTTTTGTTAGAGTTTTTACTTATGGTGTTAGATTATGCAACAAACACCTTTAAAACATAAGGTGAATATAAACAAGGAAATAAAAAAATGAATTCCTTACTTACAATACATTTAATTGTGTTATATTGAAACGATAACTTTTATTGCAATAATTATTTTCTAATGATTACACTCATAAAAAACCTAGTGGCTTTTAAACAAAGTATTTATAGACTTGCTTCATCTTTATTTAAGTGTATAATTTATCCAGCCATATTGTTAATTTAGCCTTAGCTAACTTTTAATACTATTAATTAAGCAAAAATTTACGTGACAGGGTATCAACTTACGACTGTTTTATCAAATCAAATATAAGTTGTAAGAGGAAACTATGCGGGTTTATTTGTGTGGGTCTAATTTTATTTAACTTAAAGCAACTGTGTTCCTTTGATCTAAATTAGGTTGCGCTGAAAATGAACACTTCTAATACTCGCTGTGAATTTAGCTTATTAATAAAATAGCTTTCGGCCGCGACTTCATCAGCGTAGAATTAACAAAGTAATATATAAATTTCTACGTGCATGAGCAACCTTCCTGAAAAATCCGGGCAAAATCAGTTCAGCTGTTCGGGAGGTTACCCGGTACAATGGTCTCGCGAGCACACAACCGATATTTAAAAAAAATTAAAATAGATTTTTGTTATTTTAAGAAGACAATTCGTACCGCACTGTAGAATTGGCGATACGTTTATTGGCATAAACGTGACATCTTTAACTGACAGATGTCAATGTCATTACACGTATCGGATTATGGCGCGATCCTGGTATGAAGTGTTTTTCTGAGTTTTTTACGATAGTATCAATTAACTAAACACATATACGTACATTTTATTAAATATATAGTTATAACTTACCTAACATTTTAATAACTCTTTTCGTTGATTGGTGGTTTTTCTGTCGTACTTTGTCTATCGAGGCCATATGTCTCACTAAATTCGGATGTTGATGTTTATTCCTGTCGACTTGGGACCGTTTCAATCGCAGTCCTATTAAAGCATAGAGAGCTGTGATAGCTATCATTGGAGCGAAGAAGAAAAAGAATGTCGAAATTTCAAACGAATGCGGAATTATTACACGTGTTTGAAGACACATGATCACTCCCTGGTGATTCCGTAGACCAAATTGTAGAGCTTGCGGTAACGCTAGTATGAAAGAAGCTATCCATAATAGTATCACATGTTTTATAGCCCGCGATAGCTTCGACATTTTGTGGGATACAAACGGGTGACATATTGCCAAGTATCTTTCAGTTGTGAACAGTGTTATTGTTAAAACACTCGCATTAGTCGAAGTTTCGGCGGCCAACCCTCGAATGACACAGAATGATTGGCCAAATATATACGGCCATTTCGACCATATTGAATATACCTCTTGGGGCATACCACTCACTAGTAAAAGGAGATCAGATATCGCTAGACTAAATAAGTAATAATTTGTTGCAGTACGTAAACTCTTATTACGGACTATGACTATACAAGTGAAAATATTTCCTATTAACCCTGTTACAAATATCATTGCATAGATAATTGTTATTGGTAGTACAATGTATAAGGAATCGCGTTGAGGTCCGAACACACGAGTGGGGTCTACGGACCCAATGAATGAATTATTGACAGTAGCATTTGAGGCGTTTTGACTCATAGTGTTTGAATATAGTAAGTATTTATTCTTCTTCTTAAAGTGTTCATATCACAATCATCGCGAGGGTTTCCATGTTTTTTCTCAATATATCTGTAAAAAGAAAAAATATACATTAAATCATACCAAACTGTGTAATTATAAATGTAATTATTTTTGTCTTTGATCATATTGCATATTTTAGTAGTAGTCTTTGAGCTAGAATGAGATTTAATACAGATATAATATATTTACGTAAATTATTCGTGGTCAAATGAAATGTTGTCACTGTAAATATAGCTCACATTCGTAGGTATAGGATTACTTCGGATGAATTTTAGAGGTGACAGTGACATGTTACATACAGTTAGACCAGGCGCACATTTGACTAGACTATCGCACAATTGTTGTGCGATTGTCGATTGTTTCGGATCCAATTCAACTATTCAGTTGCACAACTAAAAATCGATTACTGTATACACCTCCATATACCATAAGCTCATAGAAATCAAAACGCGACTGAACAGTTGTATGATAGATGCGCTCTTACTATAACTTTGTAGGCATTGTTTATAAGCATTCGGTTGCGCCTACATTCGGTATTTTTGACCGACTTCCCAAAAGAAGGAGGTACACAATTCGTCTGTATATCTTTTTTTTTTAACCGGATATCGCAAACGTTATGAATTGGGAACTAGAACCATTAGATTCGACATCGCATCTCCCAATAATGCTGCAAATACCAAACGCATTTTCGTCGTTCTTATCATTCTTATTAAAAAACAGATATTTTGTTTAATGGCAACATTGTTACCGAACACTATATAGTCGTAACACTAATGCCACGAATTTTGTGTAATAGGGCTTGTTTTAAAAGTAAATACGAGCGATTGATTGAATTTTCACTTCAATGGATGCTTTGATCACGTTTATTAGGTGTAGCTAAGCAAATACTAAACAGACACAAAGTTATTAATATAAACACTGGGTAGCAGACATAGCGAATAAATTGGATATCTATACTATTATAATAAAGCGTAAACACTCACTTCTTTTTTGCATAAGATGTCAGCAATTACAGCATGTTTTTGATTATTTCTTTTTTTTTCTTTTTAATAAAAAGCCCTACACTTACGTTACGCTTTAGGCTATATAATTTCACGCCATTAAACTTCAGGGGTAAAATTTTAGATAAAAGCCCTAATGTGGGAAAGAGACTTTTAGTTTGCTGCCAACATCAAGGAAGCAAGGTTGCCATGGTTTGTCATCGTCATGTCATTTTGTCATTTGCAATTGATAATTTGACACATGTAAACCAAAAAATAAAATTTTCATACTTTTATGCGGATGAAGTCGCTCGAGAACAGCTATAATATGGGACAAGTTATTACTTATTTATGTTTTTAAAAAATACACACCCTGATTTAAAATAAATATTAAATGTATTATTTGAATAAGTAAGGTAAAAAAAACTTTATAAAGTTATATATTTTTTATTTTGAATTCTCAGTAATAAAAACGGACAATGAACAGCGATGTAACGAACTTTTTTTCTCATATCAATCTTATAAGTTTATTGTAATTAAATAAGATGCATGATTTTGCAGATTTTATAAATATTGCTGGCCTAATGTAAAACGACCCCACGCTGTCCTATTCAGTGACAGTCTGTAAAACTTTTTTGGCACTTTATATTAGCATCTTATAAATAGTTTCGACTCTACGTAATATTTTATAAATAGAATTAAACAAAAAAATCTTCGTTAACAAATATAATGTTACTGCGATTTTTTGTATAGAAATGAATTCGTAGGACAAGACTTGGTGGCATTTGAACGTGTTAACAAACAAGGATATCTGGTCCGATGAGGGAGGAACTACATTGACATAGAAAATGACATAAAAGAAAAAGTCAGAAGCAGTACAAAAATTACCCTTTTTAACCTATTTTTTTAATTTATGACCACCGGGTCAGATATCCTTGTTGGTCTATAGTCATATCATAAAGAAATGTGAATAGTTTGACAGTAGGTTTTAAGTCAAGTGTGTGAAGGTTTTATAACAGCTATAAAATGACGCGGCCACGAGCGCTGGGCGGTACTCCGATGGCAGCGGTTCACGTTCACGATTCTATCGTTAAAGTTAAATAAAAAGAAGGTTATTGAATCTTTATCACTTATTAATAGACAAATAAAATATCCGATGTCCAATTGACATTGTTTTAACAATTACATTTGATTGCTGTATCTTATTTTGATCTGAGTTCAGCCTGTTTTATTTATGCTAGGTTTTAAAACGCATTTCATGAAATCATCGAACCAAAAATACTAACGAATGGTTAAAAGAAGCTGGAAAACCGACCATAAATTAATTCGATTACGTGATTTGTTACATGGTTGGCATGTCTCGAGGTTATCCTTAAGGTGCAAGCACTAAAGTGTTTAATAGTTCCGTTATTAAGTAAGTAATTTGATAGATGTATTTAACGGAAATTGAAAGATACGCGAAACTAACTTTGCCAATATCGACTGTTTTTATTAGTAGTAAATAATAGATTAGATAATAGTTTTAAACAGTATAGTATTGTATAATCTGTTTTAATTTAAATGTTTATTTCAATAATATCAGCACGCAATGTTTGAATTACAAGAACTGATATTCAAATGATTTTTGTTTTCATTCCAAAACTAAAAGGACAAAAAAATTTACTTCGATTCTTCTTCTTCTATAGCTCTACAGCTCTTTGTGGGCCTTGGCTTGGTCCAGCAACTTCTTCCATTGCCATTGTCATCATAATATTATGTGATTTTGTTTGACATCCTTTCACATATTTTCCTGGTACATAAACAAGAAAACCAGTTACCAATCGGCTACGAAAAAAAAAACAAATGTGTTCGAAGCTTTGTTGAGCTTAAGCGCGCTACACACCTTCAGTTTGTTTTTGCACAATTTTAACTGTATTTCCGATTGTTCAGTTAAAATTGAAGGAGCATAGCGAGCTTTAGTTAATGTATTTATACGCAGTGTTAGATTATAAACAATGATACTATTGAATTAATTATAAGCGTGTAAATTATTATCCAAACAAATACTCCAAGGAGTGTTTAATACATTTTCATTTGAATGGCATTTTTTTTTCTTCAAGCGATTGGATGAACAGGTCATTGACCTCGTTGAACTCGTAGAACCATAGTAAAGCATTGTTACAATAGATAATAAGCTCAAAATAATATACAGACAAGTACGCCTCGTTAGCAGAAGCAATTTCTTTGTATGTTGCTATGTAATTATGAATTAAATCATCCTTATTTCGAGGAGGCTTGATCACATTTGTAAACATTATTCCGAACTTGTTTTGAGGAGTTACCGGGATATACTATTGTGATATGTATTAAATACGCAGGTATCTATGTTGTTTTTCTCAAAAAGTAAAAGATATGACAATTTTGTATACAACTAGGTTTTACATGTAATGTAACACAATATTGTAGGGGACCGAGATTAGGCAGTTTTATATATGTACTCGTATGTATTTTATATTTAGTTATTAATCATATTAAAGGACAGTTCTAGTAGTTGATTTAGTGATAGCGATAAGAGTAATATTAACGAAATCCGTTTAGATAATGTTTATACGTTGTGTATTAAATTGTAATCATACTTAATATTATAAAAAAGTTTAGATCGTTGGATGGATGTTTGTTAGAGCTTGTAGCCTAAACGGCTAAACGGATTTTGATGAACTTTTGCTTTAGATGTAGAGGATACTCTGGAAGAACACATAGGCTACTCACTTTTTTTAATTCCACGAGGGCGGACTCACGGGCGACAGCTAGTAGAAATTAAGTTTCTGCAGTTACATACATTAAATTTCTCATTGAAGCGTATTTGATTACTGGCCATCACACATCACATTGACATTATCTAGGGTCCAAATATGGTCTCCTTTGTAGGAAGTTTTGATAGAGATATTTACGTGTATATACACACATTACATTTTTATAAACACGGCTGAAGTTTTTATTCATGAGAATCTCGTAATATAAACTGGCAGGTAATAGTGTTGGCACTCACATGGGTATTATTCTTCCATTTGAAAAATTACATTAGAATAATGATCTGTTATTGTAGCAGAGTCTTTTAGTCCGGTATAAGACTAAGCAGACATCCTGAAATGTTTATGTAAATTAAGAACCTATTTGAGGATAATAACCGTATAAGGAATCTTCGTATGCATGAAAATTAATTTGTTTATTCCGAAATGCAATTATTTTGGGACAAACGTAAGTAATTGAGCTATTCTCAGTACTAATTTGTTGCGTATGTTTTTATCGGCCTTTTCAAATTTTTCATGGAAAAGACTTCACGAAAAAATTAAGAAATTTCTAAGGTTTAACATGTCTATGGTTTGCAAGAAAATAAAACTGTAAAATATTTCCTTATGTTGCTTAAGTCAATGTGAATAAACCCCTCGTCGTATGCCAATTATTATTGCCTAATTAGATTTTTACTTTTAATTAAAAAAAATGTTTTTTTTTTGTGGGGTTACAAGTAAAAAATATTACCTATGACTTACTGTTGTATACACATGTTATTACATAATAAATAAAACCAGACATTCATTTTAAATCAGAAGTACAGGACATAATTTGAAGTTATGTTATTTACGCATGCTTTTAATATCCTATCTTTGTTACATTTTTGTAATAGGCGTTGAGAAAAATGTGATTGTTCTTAGTTCTTTAATAGCTCATTTCTTAATTTTTTCGTAGACTTGTAAAATGCGTATAAGATAATTTAACATTAGACGTATCTTTGTACAAGAACAGTTTAGTATCGTCGAAACACACTTAATTACGCCACGATCACAGACTTTGTCTTTCGACAACATTCGTTTTATGGACAATAAAACTTAACAGCTTGTAGAAAAGTGTATTATGTTAGCGGACAATTCTTTGCGGCTTCAAATACTAATTTGATTTATTTAAAGAGTAATTGGATGCTTAGGATCAACGTGAATGTAGAGATTAAGATGTTTGTTCGATTGCATTTGGTGTTACAATTGGAGCTGGCGCACACCTCTGACTAAAGTATCGCACAACTGTTGTGCGATT